ATGAGAAGGGGGAGGGGGGTTATGGTAGACCCGATGGGGGCGGGGGGGAGGGGGGAAGACGTTTCCAGGAGGCCCCTGGGTGGGGGAGGGGCGGGAGACCCCGGTGTCGGGGAGACACAATCGGGGGCGCGGCGCGGCCCCCCCTTCACACTCACTGAGCACGAGTACGGGGCGTTGGCCCATCATCCTGGCGGCGGCGCGGAGCAGACGACCCGGCCCGGAACCTTCTGGAGACAGACACACTACGAACAACGCCGCTTCACCGCGCCGCGTGACACCCTACCCCGCCCGCCGCCGCGTCCACCAATCGCCGCTCGAGCCGAACGCCCGGCACCCAATAGGCATACAGGACCTCACGTATAGGACCCGCCCCCCACTTCACCACAAGCTCGGTTGAGCGGTGACTCCCAGCGCGCGGGGCCTCGATTGGAACTGCCACCGTTGGGAGGGGACAGGGAATACTGCGCATGCGCCTCAAAAAAACCGGGAGTCCGCGTCTGCGCGATTATTCGGACGGGGTGATTTCACACATGCGCAGTGCCCAGGGTCGTGGTGAGGCGCATGCGTACAAGCTCCGAGCAGCGGTTGGATAGACAGAGAAGGGGAACCGGTCCGGCGGCCTTCCGGGCTGCGTCCGTCGCGCTCGGGTTTCGGCCGCGCCGGCTGTGGAGGCGAGTGGGGAGGAGAGCAGAGGCCGTTAAACAGCTGGCTCTCGCCCTGTGGAGGACCCTAGGAGTCGTAGTCTCTTCCACCGAAGCATGCTGGGAATTGTAGTTCTACCCAGCGGCTCCCTCACACTGGGGCATCATGGGAGTTGTAGTCTTGCTCCCGAAGCATGATGGGAGCTGTAGGCCTTACCAGGTGTTTCATGGGAGTTGTAGTTTGTTAATGAGCCATGTTGGGCCATATGACAGTGCTAGAGATGTCCAGCATGCACAACATGGGGCCTAGATGCATATTATCTTTGGGGACCAGTGTTGTGTTGGGTGCCACTCACTGACCACCCAACCCCAGCTCCCCTCCATACACAGTGCAGCCGGGACTTATGGAGCAAAAACAGCCATTGCCCCTGTAAGAATAAGTTCTTCACTTGTAAATGTGTTTTTTCTCTCTCTGTGTTAACATTACTATGAATCAGCCAACGCACATGTTGCCATAGTCCACTGGGGCTGGAAAGAGAACTGTCCGGTTGTGTGCCAGAGGCCCTATACTGCTACAATCTAATGAAGATTCTCCTTTAGCCTCAGAGCAAAGGGCCTGTGCATTTGGAGCAGAGGGTTTGAGCTCTAGCCACCTATTTATATGGTGTAAATCACCCATATAGCTGCTACTGTAAAGTTCCAAGTGGTCACAGCTTTGTTATGATATAAAATCTCTTTGTATGTTTTAATTTTTCATTCTTTTTAACCACCAGTTTAAAAAGAAAGAATACAGTATATGTCTCTAGCTAGCACACACAGCCAAGAAGAAAGTTACATTCTAGTCTGTGTCTTTCCAACCTCCTTCCTTTAAAATATTCCCTTGGATAACACAGCTCTTTCCTTTCCATAGGCACAAGCTCTGTTCCTCCACCTCCTCAGATGGAGCCAGAAACAGATGCTCAGGAAGAAAAACAACACTGGAAAAGTAGGTTGAATGCATTTCTACTTCAGACACAAGCCAACCTTTAAAGGCCAAATTGGAACTTTTGCAGCGAAATTGACATAAACGCTCCCCATGCCAAAACATAAACTCTCTGGGGGCAGGGCCCATCTTTTTGTTCTGTATTTGTACAGTTCCTGCCTCCATGAAGTCCTGGTCCATGAGTGAGGTTCCTAGGTTCTATTGCAATACAAATAATAAATAATATGCATACTGATTGTACTACAACTTCATACAATATAATTCCTGCTATGAGTATATGTAATCTGCATGGCATTAGGGTTATGCATAGATGCTGCTGGCTGGGTTGAGGACACTGCTTTGAAGAAGTTAGGTGCTACATCAGGGGTTCTCAAACGCACCCTCAGGGGGTCGTGAGGTAATTACATGGAGGGTCACGAGCTGTCAGCCTCCACCACAAACCCCGCTTTGCCTCCAGCATTTATAATGGTGTTAAATATATATATAAAAAAAGTGTTTTTAATTTATCAGGGGGGCGGTCGCACTCAGAGGCTTGCTATGTGAAAGGGGTCACCAGTATAAAAGTTTGAGAATCACTGTGCTACATATTATTGTATGTATACACCACTGAAATGCAGCTAGCACTGGGTTGGCTGATGACAGATACATAGCACAACAGAAGAAGAGAAGGGGATATTATAGCAAATCTTTGCTTGTACTGTGAGGGTCTGATTCTGAAGGGTCCTGAGCTCTGAAGGGAGTGAAGGGTGCTCAGTACCTTATAGGAACAGATCCTTAACTTTCTTGAAAAGCAGATAGGAGAGTGTAGCCTAGTGACTAGAGCATTGGTCTAGGTCTGAGATAATCTGGGTTCTGTTCCCAGCTCTGCCAGGCCTCCTGGGTGACCTTAGGCCAGTCACTTCCTCTCCCTGTACCTCAGTTTCCCTATCTGTAAAATGGGGATAATATTACCCTCCTTTGTAAGCGCTTTGAGATCTACTGATGATAAGCTCAAGTTTAGAGCTAGGGATTATTATTCTCATTTACCCTAAAGCCCCACTGGACCTCTCTTGCAGTATAAAGGGGCCCTAAATCATAAATTAGTTATACTCACAGTAGCGTCCCTTTGCACAGGCAGAATAGTGTAAAGCAGTTTAGTGTCAATAAGAATCAGGCACTCAGTTTTGAAGGGCTCATTGCAAAGAAAAGATATCAGAGCAGCGGAAGAACTCTTCCTTAAGAGTCTTGTTATCCCATCAATATAGAAACTCACGGTAACAACAGTCGTTTATTTTGCAGACACAGCGAGACGATCCACTCAAAGCCCACATACGTATTTCCCCAATCTGAAATCCCCAATCTTTATATCTACTTTTACTGTAATGATTGTTAATTTAAGATTAGGTTCTTTTAACAACAGGACATCAAATAATCACAGTCAACCAAATGTGTTAACCCACGAGTGTTAGTCAAAGATCAGTCTGCACAAATACAGAAAGATGAGAGTTAAATACTTTACCATTTCATCAAGCTGGGGATACAACCAGCAGCATGGATTGTTCTGGAAATATAATTCACTGCTGAGGTGTATATATACCTTTGGCTTTTACCATGGTCCCAAAACTCCCCAAAATACTCACCAGCAACTACACACCACACCACAGAAACACCAACCAGGAACTAATCCCTGTAGCAAACCTTGTTGCCTACTCTGTCCCCATATCTACTCTGGCGACACCATCAGAGGTCCCAACCACATCAGCCACACCATCAAGGGCTCATTCACCTGCACATCTACTAATGTTATATATGCCATCATGTGCCAGCAATGCCCCTCTGCCATGTACATTGGCCAAACCGGACAGTCCCTCCAC